GGATGAGACCCATGCAGAGAGAGAGGCCAGTGCCAACCAGCTGTATCACCGGATCTTACTTCAGAGGGTTGTGTGTAGCTGGAAAAGGGTAAAATGCCACACACACACACACACACAGACTGGTAGGAAACTGTGAATGATTAGAAAAGCTTCAGATTTTGACACAACATCATTTCTGTAGTGATATTTGGTTTAGCCAACAAAAGGTCTTGTTGATTTTTAAATAATAAAATTATTTATATATATATATATATATATATATTATATAATTATTTATATATATTATAAATGTATTTATAATAATATTACATACATATGTATTATTTATTCATTATTTAAATATTTATAATTATGTGAATATTAAGAGTTATGTTTGTTTAAAAACAATCTTATCAATTTAATATAAATATACAGAATATATTTATAGACATTTTAGACATAAAAAATAATAGTTTGTACACATAAATAAATAATTGTATTTTTTTTTATAAATGAATAAAACGATAACAGATTCCATTAGAAAACTAAATTTGGTATAGTCCGTATTCATTATTTTAATGTAAATGTTTGTTTAAAAGTAGTCTTATTAATTTAATATAAGTACTATTAAGACATATTTATAGGCATACACACATTTAATTTATATTAATCATAATAAATTTAATATAAATATACATATAATTTAAGGATAATATTGTATTATTTATAATTAATTTCAAATATATAATTGCATTGAAATTAATACATACAAATGGTATTATTTTTATTGTCTTTACGTTTTATGAATAGAAGAAATTATCAATTTTGCTTCCCTAAAACTCATCACCAGGTTGCTATGTGGTTGCTAAGTTATACTTTGTGATTTATTATTACTGACACAACAAAAAGAGCTTACATCAATGTGTCTATGTTTAATATTTAGGGTTAGTGATATTAATAAACCCTTATCTTTAGTTATGAGCAATTGTCTATGTTTGATTTGAATACTTGCCAGTTAAAAGATCTGCGCTTTATACTGGAAGCACGTGCAGAGCGGTTTCACAGGACACGGACCCAGAAGAAGGTGTTCATGGCCCTGATGGATCACGCTACAGAGGAGCGAATCACAGCCTGGGACAATGAGCAACGGGCAGAGCAGCACAACAGCAGGTCAACACGTCTTTCAATGTGACACTTTTAATGCACCATAAGGCCAAAATGTCTTTTCTAAAGATAGTAGAAAAAGAAATGTATGGGTTATTTAGTATTTTCAGTATTTAGAAAAATTAATGTATGTTTGCTCTGACATTGGCTCTCTGGGCTTTGTAGGAGAGCTGTCAAGAAGCGTTTTGCTGGCTGGAGGCGTCTTCCTGTTGTCCTGCGAGAACAGAAAGAAAGAGAGGCACGCAGAGAGCAGCTCAGACGTAAAGTGGCAGAGATTTTGCCCGACTTCCGCTCCTCCCCTATTGACTCCCCGTGGCGCTCCGTAAATCCTCTTTAACTGCACACACAGGCTTTACATGACATCATCAAATGACACTGAAAACATCTGCAGCTTGATGAGCCACCATGTTTAATCATTTTACGCGTGTTTATTTTTCCATGGTACAGTTTAATCGAACAACTTGTAGAATGGAATGCATTACATTATAAAACCGTCTCACATGGGACAAAGAAACATCCGGATTCTGAAGTGCTTCTTTAGCAGTTTCTTTAGAAGGCATTTAATGAAAGGAAGCCAACTTTGATTAAAAAACGCTGCAATAATTCCTGCACATCAAAAAATAGCTGGATGGGACATGCCACAGATTTGTCCCCAGTTGAAGCACATGAAAAGAAAATACACACACAGGCACAAAGACCTCAAATAACAAACATGAAGCTCCACATAAAACATTCATACTGAGATGACAGTTTTAAAGCTGTGTGCTGTCTGGATATAGATGCAGTGTTGCATCACTTCTGATGTTCCAAATAGGCACTAAATAAGGCTTGATATTCAATGTTTGTTCACATAAGACACACTTTGGAGTTGAGGGAACAAATATTAGCCAGTAAAATCTATAATAGAGCCAACTAGCAGTGAATGTAAACCAAAAATGTGTGATATTTGTTAGTTTGTTTTCCTCTAATTGTAAATGCAAGTCACACATGGTTCCCTATGATTGAAATTACTAAAAACATTTTTTTATATATTTTAGAAAAATTATTGTCAAAACATGACAAATCATGGAAGAAAATTAATATACTATTTATGATACTTATTCATTCTTATGAATTCTTAATATTAATCATAAAAAATATATATTTCGTGAGAACTTTACATAATATTTGGAATGCCAAGCTGGTAAACACTAACTACACCGGAGTAATGGTGTACTTGATGTTGAAATAAACTGGTAGAGATGTAACATACTACAACACTGCCATCTAGTGATCCACACAATTCAACTGACTGTTTATGAGACCTTGAGCACAATGTCTAGAGCCATAAAACTGACTCTGGAATGAATGTTGAAGGCATTAAGTAGCACAATATTATACTTCACTGTGTTGTATATGGGTGATAATTCACTTGAAAGACCAGTTCGATTGTTTTCCATCAGCGGAGACTGAGAGCTGAATTTCTACACCAGATCTGATGGTTTATGATTTGATGGCTCTGAAGCCTTGCTCATGGTCAAGAATCCAATCCAGTTACTACGGAAGCCTCTTGAGTAAACGCCGGTGTCGATGATCAGACCCCAGAGAAGGCTGCGACCGGTTTTCTCTCTCAAAGCCAGACGCGCCTCCCGTTCGGTCACGTTGAAGCTGACGTTGATAAGCTGCAAGAGCAGCAGGTGCAGCAAACCTCCTGACACAACACAGCTGTACCAGGCACAGGTGAAACACAGAGCAGAACTGATAAACAGAAAGACGGAGACAAATAGGTTCATTTTATTATTATTATTCTCTAAATACTAAAAATGCTGTTATGAACAGTCATACTGAAACTGTGTGAACTTGAGGATCAAAACTTTCATCTTAATTTTAAAGTTGCAATACTAAAATTACTTGAACTGAAATTAAATAGAATAAAAAACGTGTGTGTGTATATATATATATATATATATATATACACACACACACACACACAGTATATACAAGATTTATCTTTGAACAAGGAAAAAAATATTTAACAAACTCGGGTAGAAACTGCAAACGAGATAATGACTGGCTAGCAGTTGTGTAGGTCTCCAAGGACAGGAAATGTCTAGGTTTACTTTAGTGTAATGAGCACTGATGGAGCTGAGCCTTATATAAATGAGGTCTGCAGGCAGAGCAAGAGGGGGTTTTCTGGGCCCGTCTGTCCACTTGCAAAGCCAGATGTGTGGGCTGTATGAGTAGTTGTAATTGAAAAGTAGTTGGTATAACGTAAGTGTGTGTGTGTGAATTTAAAAGATAATTCAAAATATGAATAAATAATCATATATAAATAATACTAAAATAGTGCACTGCAGCCCACAACTTCTGTCTTCAAGGAACAGTACACCCAAAAATGTGTTTAGTACAACCATTCAGCTTTTCGCTTTACAAGATGTTAATTGATGGACTGGAGTTATGCTGATTATTCATGGATTATTGTGATGTTTTTATCAGCTGTTTGGACTCTTTCTGACGGCACCCATTCACTGCAGAGGATCTGTGTGAACAAGTAATGTAATTTCTCCAAATCTGTTCCAATGAAGAAACAAACTCCTCTACATATTGGATGGCCTGAGTCATCAATTTTGGGTGAATTCTTTAAGATCAATTTAATAGGTAAATTGCCTGCCATCTATAATGTAAAATACCTTATGTCATTATATTTGAACAAGGAAAAAAATATTTAACAAACTCGGGTAGAAACTGCAAACGAGATAATGACTGGCTAGCAGTTGTGTAGGTCTCCAAGGACAGGAAATGTCTAGGTTTACTTTAGTGTAATGAGCACTGATGGAGCTGAGCCTTATATAAATGAGGTCTGCAGGCAGAGCAAGAGGGGGTTTTCTGGGCCCGTCTGTCCACTTGCAAAGCCAGATGTGTGGGCTGTATGAGTAGTTGTAATTGAAAAGTAGTTGGTATAACGTAAGTGTGTGTGTGTGAATTTAAAAGATAATTCAAAATATGAATAAATAATCATATATAAATAATACTAAAATAGTGCACTGCAGCCCACAACTTCTGTCTTCAAGGAACAGTACACCCAAAAATGTGTTTAGTACAACCATTCAGCTTTTCGCTTTACAAGATGTTAATTGATGGACTGGAGTTATGCTGATTATTCATGGATTATTGTGATGTTTTTATCAGCTGTTTGGACTCTTTCTGACGGCACCCATTCACTGCAGAGGATCTGTGTGAACAAGTAATGTAATTTCTCCAAATCTGTTCCAATGAAGAAACAAACTCCTCTACATCTTGGACAGCCTGAGGGTGAGTACATTTTCGGCAAATTTTGGTTTATAGGTGAACTATTCCTTTAACCAGCGGCATAAGTTTTGGGCAGGACTTTGTGTTTGTGTGAAGAATGGCAGATGATGTTTGGGAAAGACTTAATTTTTGTTCAGTTTGTTCACTTAACCCTCAACAATTCTGCTGAATACTGATATGGTGCATTTGAAGCAGTAAAGTGACTTTTTCATGAATAACTAATGAACTGGAAGGAACAGAGGTGTTAAGAAAGGTCTGAAAAGAGGGTCAGAACCAATTGAATTAAATAGAACAGAAAGCATTTCTGTGAGTTTGTATATCTGGATCCAAACCTGAACTGGTTGTAGACGTCAGGACAGTAGAACAGTGCAGTCATTACATTCTGGTCGGAACACACGCTTCGAAGAACCAAACTGATCCCGTACAGCGATGTCAGCAGAAAGAAAACAAGTGTCAGAAGGAAATTGCGGTGATTGTCCTGCCCCACACAGCTGTTGATCCTAACGCAAACCAAAACGACAAACAAGCCACTGAACTGAGACCTGGAGATCATTTTCACATATCACTTACACAGAGTAAGATGAATGCAGAGGGTGAGATCACCTCACTGGCTCCAGTACACATGTTTACATGAAGAACAAGACATTTTACAGCTGCGCTGAACACAAAAAACAAAGTTTGATTACTGCATATTAATCCATAACATAATAAATGGACAACTAGAATGTTCTGAGATTTCCAACATAACAATGAGCATATTCAGTGCATAGCACATGAGCTAACCCAACTGATACAGGAATTCTGGTAACTGTGCACTCTTTGATTTCATTAAGGATTACATTCTTTGTTTTGTTTCTAGGAAAGTAAAATTATAAGAGTATGCAGATAAGACTTCATGCAGTATACAATATCTAATATTAGATGCTAAAGATGGGTCAATAACTAAAGCAAAATGCTGGTAATGCTAATGTGTGCATTTACATAAAAATGAAGTATATTTGATGGGCATGAAAAATACTGCATGAAAATTAGCCCTATTCTAGCAACATTAATGTTTTTTGCATTTTTTTAATCAATTCAAATATTCTCCCAAAATGTCATTACGTTTTATTATTTACTTCTTGATGAATCTTGTTGGATTTTCAGTACTGTAGCTATATATATAAATAACAAATTTGACAAAAACATGAAAATTAATATTTAAAGTATATTATATATATATATATATTATGTATATTATATAATATTTTAATGTATTTATGCAGTGTGTGTAATATATATATATAATTTAGTGCTGTCAAACGATTAATTGCGATTAATCGCATCCATAAGTTTTTGTTTACATAATATACTGTATGTGTATATTTATTATGTATATATAAATACAAACACATGCATGTATTTAAGAAAAATGTTATGTTTATGTATTAAATATTAAATGTTTATATATAATATAAAATATAAGAACATGAATATATAAATGTATAAACATAAATATTTTCAAAATATATACTGTATGTGTGTGTATTTATACATGCATA